AAGTTGCTTACCAAAAATAGTTCACAATTTTCCATCTCAAGACCAGATGATATATGAGACTATCAGTTTTAATAAATCCTCAGCCATATCAGATTTTATTTTGTTTTATTTTCCATTGTACAGTACTGGGAATTGAACTGGGGACATTGTGCTTCCCAGGCAGGCACTTATGCTGCCAAGCTATCTTCCCAGCCCCTAATATAAGATTTTAAATGAGTGTTTTAATGAATAAAAATTACTTGATGTTTTATTTTACATTGTATTATTTTACAGCTTAAGAATATTCATATATGTTTATTAACTGTTTTTTTTTCTTTGTTTAAACCATAGTTGAAGTGGTACTATTTATTGTTGATTTAGATGAATAGTTGAGAGCTTTCAAGATAGAAGAAAGGATACTCACCAGAGGTGGTGCAGCACTTGCACCAGATATCCATAGAACGTGAAGAATACTTGGATATAAATCTACAAAATTGATTAAAGAAAACACAAAATAAAACAACAACAAAAAAGTTATGAGGAATTGAAAAGAAAAAAAAAGGATAAAAAGAAAACAATTTAAGCATTAACTGCTCCTTTCAAAATACCAGCAGAATTTGGCAGTACAATTATCAAAACTAATCCTGCATATATACATGAATATATCTTTTTATCTTTTTCTTTTGTCCTTTTTCTCACCCCAGTTTTTCCTTCCCATTGAACAGTCTTTCTCTTTCACAGACAGGTTTATATCTGGTTGCCTAAACAACTAATTTGAAGACAACGTCATGCAGCACAGCAATCATTGTTGAATTCCTATTACTTTGTCTAATGAAATTTTGTATTGTTTCTAATGTCTTTTTTTTCTTTTTTACTATTTTGTATTTTTTAAAAGAATATTCAGTATGGAACACAGTATTACGTGTGAAGTCGTGCTCCAGAAATAGTGGCCTTAGGACTCTTAGATTTTCCTTAGAATATAAGCAATAATTGTGGGCCTGGGGAGATGGCTCAGTGGAATAAGCGCTTCCCTGGCAAGCGCTAGGGCCTGAGTTCAATACCCAGTTCCACCAAAAAAAAAAAAAAAAGTAATAATTGTGGAACTCCCTGCAATTTCCCAGAAACTGCAAGTATCTTCCTGAATTGATGTTTAGGCAGTAGGTTTGCAAGTAGCCAGTCTGAGAGCATCGTTCACTTCCCTTTTTTTTTTCTTTTCAAAGTTTTATTGATAAACACATAGCAATGAGACAGTTTCAAATCAAATCGAAAGTACAGTTTCAACAAATAATACACTGCATATATTCTTCTTAGTGGTTAATTGCTGTACAAGAT